GATCAATACTGTATTTTGTTTTGTTCAGGCTAGGCTGGCTTGCTGGAAAAGCCAATTTTTTAGGGCGCGTCGGAAGGACCAGAGGTCGGGGATTATACAAAGCTCCAGGGGCAGCTTATTCCAGAGGGAAGGCGCTCCCACAGAGAAGGCTCTCACCCTGGAGGTCACTAGCCGCCACTGTCTGGCCGACGGCACCCTGAGGAGGCCAATTCTGTGGGATCGCAATGGATGATGGGAGGCTACCGGTGGCAGTAGGTGGTCTCGCAGGTACCCTGAGCCTAAGCCATGGAGCGCTTTAAAGGTCATAAGTAATACCTTGAATCGCACCCGGAAGACAACTGGCAACCAATGCAGGCCGCCTAAAAGGGGTGTAACATGGGAGCACCTAGGTGCCCCCATGATAACCCGTGCAGCCGCATTCTGGACCAGTTGAAGCTTCTGGGTGCTCTTCAAGAGCAGCCCCATGTAGAGAGTGTTACAGTAGTCCAGGCAAGAAAGGACGAGGGCATGAGTAACTGTGCACAGAGCATCCCGATCCAGGAAGGGGCGCAACTGACGTACTAGGTGAACCTGGTAAAAGGCCCCCCTGGTCACGGCCGTCAAGTGTTCTTCTAAACTAAGCTGCATATCCAGGAGGACGCCCAGATTGCGGGTCCTATCTGAGGGGGCTAAAATTTCTCCCCCTATCATCAAAGATGGAACAAGATGCACAAATCGGGATGACGGAAACCACAGCCACTCCGTCTTGGAGGTATTGAGCTTGAACCTGTTCCCCCCCATCCAGATCCACACAGGCTCCAGGCATCGGGACATCACGTCAAGGGCATCGTTTGGGTGGACAAATATATTTCTGAGTATGGAGCTCAATCCTCATAATTCCCATTTTATATAATATAATAATATTCATTATATTTTAGTCAATGGTAAACATTGTCTCCTGTTCATATTGAAAACAGGTATTTTGAGTATAGCCTAGTAGTGAGTCTAAGTACTAGAGTCACAATCTAAACTGGAGTATAAGAGCTGCATTGTAGGAGAAGGAGTAGCAGAACCTGGGGCGGAGTCAAAAGAGGTGGGCTGCTTCTGGTTTGGCCTGGATCAGGTGAACCAGTAGTTGCAGTGGCAGGAGGCTCCGCCCACCCATCCAGACACTTCTGTGCATGCACAGAAGTTTCTGTGCATGCGCAGGAGTGTCGCACGTACATGAGCGAACCGCTAGTAAAAAAAATGGAAACCCACCACTGCCTAGTGTCTCTATGTAGCCACAAACAGCCTAATTCCAACTCCTCTTAACTTCTGTTAACCCTTATCTAACACTAAACTAGTGCTAACCACTAGTTGGCAAAAAAAAAAACTGTGCATAGGCATGAGTAGTACTAAATCACAATTATAAATAATAAAATAATAAATTTGAACTTCATGTATGCTCCTGACATATATTTATCTTTACAAATTAACATCCGCAAATTTTTCATTTGGGTTGGGGGTTGTATATGTATAGACAAGAGGTAAAAATAACTTGGACTAAGATTTGAGCATGTGATATTTATTATTATTTAGCATATGGCATATCATACATGGACAAGCAATATATACTAACATTTCACCTAGATTAGTAAAACAAAATAAAATATAAATGTTTCAAAGATCTGTGTTCAAATACCGATGTCTGGGCCATCTAACCATTGAAGTGATCATTTATGCTTAACCCCCCCCCCCCTAGATTCTGGACCAGTATATGGTCTTTGCTTATAGCTGGTCTCTTGATGTAATCTACAGTTTGACGTGGGACCCCACAGACACACTGAGGAGGAGAAGATACCATGCCCCATTTATCCAAAGAGTCCCAGCAGTCACTTTGTGAGGTGCAAATCCTGTTCAGGATTGTCCATTGCTGAGATGGTCGTTCAAAGCCTGACATCTTTTTTGTGGTGTCTTTCTTTTTCTGTGTCTTTCTATGTCTGGGAGTTCAACAACCCATTTACTTTCCATTGGGAATCGATGTTAAAGTTGTTGGGCAGGTGTTGTGCCAGTGCCAGTGGGAGTTTCCTGGATTTGAAGGATCGGCTGATAAATGGCCAGTATGTACCAATAGGAGTGAGTTGTTCATATTTTTTCTGTATTCTCTCATTAGGGCACCTTGCCTTCATAAAACTGGTGGTGCTATATGGCTCAGAACAGGAAGCCAGCAAGTTGGAGTGGTTTTAATACATCCACTTATAATCCTCCCGAGTCTGTTGTATAACTTACTAGTATGGCAGCTGTTAAGCCTTACTAGTAAGTATGGCACAATATTGTTAAGCCTTACTAGTAAGTATGGCACAACCCTAGTGCTGATGAATGAGGGTGGCAGCTAAAGATTCCCATTTGGGAATCTGGAGTATGTGGATCCTACTATTGGTTTTTGCTGCCATATTCTCTTCATATGCTAGTTTGTTATTAAGGTAGAAGCATGTTTTGCTGGTGCTAGGAGTAACCGTTCTGTCAGTGAACTTTCCCAAGATTTTAAGAACTTTGGATAGGACGCTGTCTGACATCTCCATGTGTTTTTCTTATACTTCTTTAGCCAAATTATCAGTGTATCCAAATTTGCATCCTCTTGTCACTGCCATATCTAATAGGTATAAGCTGAATAGTGTAAGTACCATTATGGAGCACTGTGGGAAGCCATTGTTTAATCTTATCTTACTTATGTTGTCTCCCATTATTATCTGAAAGAACACATCACTCAGCTTGTTACTAGACGATACCATATGGTTTCCTAACCAGCTGACCAATCACAGTCAACATGTAGTCCTTAATGGAACTGAATGTACACAGAGCAGTGGTGGGTTGCAGGGGGTACGCCTTGGTACACGCATACCTGAGCCTGCACAGAGCACCGGGTACACTTCCGGTACGGTGCTCCGGAGGGCCCATCCACTTGCCCGTGCTCCTTACCTGCCTTTAAAGCCTTTGCTGCTTCCCTGCACGTGCATAGCGCATACAGCACAAGTTTGAGTGGAGGACACCGGGCCCCATTGCAACTGTACTGTTTGATCCAGAACCCACCACTGACACAGAGGGAAGTAAATAATGGGGTACCCCAAGGCTCTGTCGTAGTCCTTATATAGGTAGTACTTGGCTCAATAGTAGTAATTGCGAGAGGGATCTTGGAACCCTAGTAGACACTTAAATATGAGCCAACAGTGTGCTGCAGCTGCCAAAAAAGCCCACACAAAAGCCCTAGGCTGCATTGATATGTGAAGTATTGGTACTATTTTATAATGTCTTGATAAGACCACTTTGGAATATTGCATCCATTTTGTTTGCCACAATATAAAAAAGAATGTTGAGCTTTAGAAAGAGTGCAGAGAAGAGCAACAAAGATGATTAGAGGAGTGGTTCAACCTATTCTCCAAAGCACCTGAAGGAGAGAAACAACCTTGAACTAAGGAGAAATTTCCTGACAGCTAGAACAATTAATCAGTAGAACAACTTTCTTCCAGAAGTTGTAAATGCTCCAACACTGGAAGTTTTAAATAAAAGATTGAACAACCATTTCTCTTAAATGATATAGGATTTCCTGCTTGAGCAGGGGGTTGGACTAGAGGACCTCCAAGGTCCCTTCCAACTCTGTTATTCTGCAATGATGGTCTACAAAGTGGGAAGCAATTTTGAAGGTAATATTGATGATATGAGCAAAGTGGATTTCTGCCATAAGCAATAATTAAACTTTCGGTGCCACTTGTTTAATGACAGGGCTGATTCATGAAATTAAACTAGATAAATACCGGTATTTCTTTCATTTTTCCTCCCTCCTCCCACTACACACCACAAGAATTTCCTACTTTTAACTAGCAATTCAGCGTTATGGAGCAAAGAGTGAGATACATGACCTGCTGTTGGCTGCTTATATGTCTCAAAGATGAAGTGCCAATATTTTCACTCTGTAAACTGTCTGTGCTACCACTCTTACACACAGCAAGCATTTTGAAAATACTCTCTGGTTCAAAGCATAGTTGGGCTGATGACCAAGCAAGTGGGTAAGCATTTCTCTGTGCAATCACCAGTGCCCTTTCATCCCTCTGTCCCTCCAATTGTTACTTCAGTTCTCCTGGGAGAAGTCTCATTCCATTGACTTCACAAAATATCCCTCTTTGGAATGTTTGATAGGGCTGATTGTAAAGATTTCCTCAGGCTTCCAGACCTGGCATTGCTTCTGTCTCCTGTAATACTGAAGGAACTCCAAGCTATAAATCCATGATACGGGATTGCTGGCTCTGGGTCACTGGCACCCCTCATAGCTGATGGCCCATTTCTCATGGTGCTGTTTTGTTATCCCCTCAGCTATTTGCATTTTGTGTCAGTGGCCGAACCATTCCCTGCTTAAAGAATTCCATCCCCCCCTTCCAGCAAATGCAGACCAGATGTTTCCCTGACCTTTTTTTTTTTTTTTGCTTTCAGGAGTATAGGCTTCTGTTGCTATTCAGAGGAATGAATTCAGGTGACAAACGTCTTTTTTTCCAGAGTCTCACTTTCTCCAAACAATTGACAGCAGTGTTCCAAGTGCCAACATGAAACAAATTGCTTTTCTGTTTCTTTAAGCCTCCTGTATTTTTCCATCCAGATTGCTGAAAAATAAAATATGTGCATTATTTATCACATGTATAGCAGTATTAACATCAGGAAATTAAACTATGAAAAAAGAAAGCCAAATGAAATAAAACCAAAGGAGAGGAGGGGGAAAAAAAAGTTGAATCTTGCCTTTTTGTAGTCAGGGTGAAAGGGGTGTTTGAAACAATATCCTAATATCCTACAGTAAAAGCCCAATCACTGTGTTTTCTGTACAAAACTCCACCCCTTGGGTTCATAAGACTTGGAAAAAGAGTTGCCCTTTGTAGTTTACTATAACATATAAAAGCTGTTAGCAGTTCGCGTAGCCAGCAGCTAGAAAGCTTTCAGTTTTCCCCACCCTCTTTCTTTCTCCTTGTAAGTTGGTAATAAGATACACTCTTTTTTCCCCTAAGGTTCACATTAGAGCACAGAAGAGAACTGTTTAACTTGGAAGAATAATAACACTAGGCTTTTTGGTTCTGCAAAGAGGTAAGCCACTGAGCTCAGTTTCTGTTGCATGTCTTTTTACTATTATTATTACACATCTGATGCTCCTTGAATCAGTTGAATGGCAGGAGGAAGATAGTGGTTTTATGTTCTCTCTGTCCCTCTCCCTGTCCCTGTCCCTCTCCCTTCCTCCCTCCCTCCCTCCCTCTTTCTCTCTCTCCTGTCCTGATTTTTTTCCCTTTGATTATGTCTCTTTAGTATGAGTGCAGAACTTATTCTGCAGTGTGCTCAGAAACTTTTTTCAGCTTGAAAATAGTGTGCTGAATCCTTTTTGTAGCTCTTTGAGCTGTACTAAGATGGTCACCTATGTTACAGGACAATTTGTGTGTATGGTTGCTACGCAACATGAGACATCACAGCATTTCAATTGACTACTTGCAACCATCATATATCTGTGCTTTGCTGCACACATGAATCGGTTTGGGAGATCAGCTGGGAAACTCAGCTGGAAGGAAAGATTTAGTCTGATCCCAATAATATTTTTAACCCTTTCTCTTCCACAGATCCTCTCTTTGTCTCCTGCTTTAAAGTATACAGACCCTAAAATGACAGTCATTTCTGCCATTAGTGGGGCTCTCTTAATTACCATTCTCTATGAAGCAAGTGCACTAGTGTTGCCCAATTCCACTGACCTATTCCTGTCAACTAAAAATTACACTGATGTTGAAGCAGCTTTGAAAACTCATCTGGCTTCTGCAAGCCTCCCCAAAATCAGGAAAAAGCGATATATCTCACAGAATGATATGATTGCCATTTTGGATTTTCACAATCAGGTCAGGGGCAGAGTATTCCCACCTGCATCCAACATGGAATACATGGTAAGCAGCCATGTCTTTATTCATTTCCTCATGTCTGAACTTGGAAGGATCTTGCAAATAAAAAAAAAAGTATAATCTGTTTAAGTTTCACATTGCCAAATGACTTTTTTTTTTCATAAAAGAATGCAAGCCAAAAGCTTTTGAAAGAACTGTAATAGTTTGCATGTGCTGAGTAATTCAGGCCATTTTTTCCTTCCTCTGCCTATGGTGCAGACATGGTCTAGACTAATAGGCCACTCTAACAGGCTTCTTTGGATTATATAATCTGAATGTAGCTAAAGTGCATAATTAATTCTGTGTTTGATTAATGTATTACATGAAAGCAAAAATTGACTGTGGTAATTATTCTGCTTATATAGAAAAATGTAACAAAGTTCTTTAAGATTACAGTCCTGCACACAGTTATCAGATGATCCATTGCATATAATGGCATTTCTGAATCAACATGCACAGGAGTGAACCATAAATTTTAAAATGTGAAAGTAGGCATCAAATATTTTTATCACTTGGAGTTTTGAGGAACTCCACTATGCCTAAAATCTGTTCTTGGTAAGTCTAATCAAATATGCATGTTTTTCCCTTTTTCTATTGCCAGTTTTTGTTTCTGTTGGCCTATAATTCTGTTGTTAGCTTTCTTGGAACAGTAAATCTGTGATATTTTTAATGTCACTTAATATATCATAAACATTGAAGTTTATTTTGGGCAATTATAAAATGTATCAAATGTTGATATATAATTAAAAACAATGAAATCTTCAATAATATCAAAAGAAGGAATTGTTGAATCATAATGGTGTCATTATCAAATTTGACAACTTAAGCATTAAAATAACCTGCTCACATAAATGTACAGTATAACAATCTTATATACTACTTATCATATATGCTACCCAGTTTTGGATGATGTTTTCTATTGTTTGATAATAAGTGAAACATATTGGTAAATTCCCTTTTTATTGAAATATAAAAATTATATTCTGAACTGTAGATCTCTTTCTGCGGGGTACCATAGGGTTTGGTCCTTTTACCATTACTTTTTCAATATCTACATGAAACTCCCAGGAGAGTTTATCCATGGTTTTGGATGAAATAAATCATCCATATACTGATGACACATGAGTGCATATTGAGCTGGCTTGAGATGCCATGGAGGTCTTTATTGCTTGCTAAAGAGGCCTGGATGGAATGAATCAGGCTAAACCTCACCACATTGTTACTGGTCCAGAAAACATCTGTTGTTCTGTGTGCTTTCAATTCTGATGGATGTTACTTCTCCTGAAAGAGCAGATCTATGACTTGGAAGTTCTAGATTCACAGCTACTGCTGGATTCAGAAGAGGATTCCATAGCCAGGGAAAACTTTGCCTGCCTCAGATAAGGTGCCAATTATGCTCCTACTTTGAATGATAGCTCCTGACAGTAGAAGCACTTCTGGTAGTAATGTGCTTTACATTATTTGAAATTACATTTACATTGCATTTAAACTGGTAAAAATTGCAGTGGATGAGAGTTCCCACAACTAGATAAATTACAGGCACTACGTTACCTTCCATTAGGTTTCCAAGTAAGATGCTGGTTTCAGTCATTCAAACGTACATGATTTCACTTCTTGGTATATATGGCAGCATCTCACTTCCTCCTAGTGGAAACACTCCATCCTATGTTTTTTCAGGTTGGGCTGCTTAGGCTTGCGCCATATGTGAGGTAAAAAAGTGAGGGCTCATAAGTAAAACCTTTTAAACAATAATCACTACTTATGCCCCTCTTCCCAAGGGCTGAGTGGCATCTACTTGGCACTAAGTTGGACTTGGTGCCATGATTGCATATGGTTAAATTGTTTTTGTCCTTGGGGTTTTATTGCATGTTTGTGTTTTATTTATCTTGTAAACTGTGAGAGTCAACCTTGATCGCAATGATATACAAATGCATGTTTGACCACTTCAAACTAATTTTTAGGACCTTATAGGATTATAAAAAAAAACATCCTCTTTTATCAGAGATTACACATTTGGAACTAGTAGAGAGTTCTACATGACCCAGAGCCAAATTATATGCAAGGGAATATTTAGTTATATCAATCTTTGCTGCAAATCTTTATTGTGTCTGAAATGTACAATGTTTGTTGTCAATTTGGAGGGCTATTTTTCCTGCAAATTCCATTACATTCTCCTCCAACAAAAAGTGTGGTTTGTTTAAATCTTGCTTTGGATGTAGTATGTGAATCAGATAGGCCTACTTTTGGAATGGCCTAGACCAGAATGAGCCATGTTGTGTTCCAGATGGCTCCCTAAATTGGATCAGGTGATTCTGCATACTAATTTTTAACTCATGTTAATTACTTCATACTACATCTTTTCTGTTAACAATAAAATCTCACAAGCAAAACCTCTAAGTAAAGAACCAATGGTGGAACTTAGTCCTTTTATATGGAGTAAACACATGAAAACTTTGAGGAAATAGTAGACCAGATGGAATTAACAACATAAAAATACAAATGGATTTTCCTTAAAAACATTTGAATACCATTATAGAAAAATACAATGTGCAATGCAATACTCATTGTGGATTTGTATGCACATTTTGAACTGATAGTATTCTTACAAGCTATAAGATGGTAGTTTATTCTCAATTAATCCATGTACAAAGTAATAAGAACTATAGCGCTTTCTCCACAGCAGTGTCTCTCAACCTCTATAAGTTCATGTCTGAACTCCAACTCCCAGAATTCTGCCTGGAGAGGTTGAGAAGCACAGCTCTACAATAAGAAATATATTTCACACTTTTGGCGAGTGTGGGCCTACTTCAATGATTAATATTTTGGTTTACTGTGATGAAAGAGTACATTAATAAAGAAATTCAATTGCTATTTTGAAATAGCAGAATTTCTACTATTGCATTTCCCCCATCCCATCTGCTTGCTCAGGTTTTTTACCTTCCCCACTGTATGCTCATAAACTCTAAAATGGGGGGGGGTAGAGTGAATGTGATGAAAAGGGACAAGGCTCCTCCTTATAACAATCCTTCAGAGAAATTGAGGTAAAACAAGTCAATATTTTGCAACTATTCAGGAGTTATTTCTTAGCTCCATATATAGATGTCACGCAATTGTGATTTTTTATTTATATGGTCAGCCATCTTAAATGCATAATCCTAAAATAACAAAAACAACTACACACACACACACGCACACACACAAACACACACAAATACACATGCACACACACAATAAAACCTCAAGATACAAATACAAAGTAAGTTAAAAGTAACCATAACACAATAGCCAAGCACAATAATAAATACACAACACAGCTGCGCCTGTTTTGGGCTCAATTATAATTGCAGCCCAGCACCTGAGGAAAGAAGGAACATCTGAGGAACATCTGAGGAACATCTTCACAGCTTTCTGGAAAAGCTTTGGGGAGCTCTGGATCTTAGGAGGAGAGAAAGCAGCTCAGTACAGTAAAAATGTCCACAAATTGACTATTGCTTGTCACTGATGCCGTATTCAGTGGCAGTTCAAGAATAAAAGATCATGTTCAGTGAATTAGCTTTTAATTTTATTTTACTTTATTGGCAAGCAAGGCTGCATTGCATTGCATTGCAAAAAATAAAATAAAATCAACAGGAACATAAGCAATGGATAGGGCCAAACCCTGTGTAGTGAGTGCCAAAAATAAATATGGGAAGGAAGGATCAGTTTCACTGGATTATTCCTTCTTTTCTTCTTCATCTATGGCTACCCCAGAAAGCTGCCAGAAAACAGACAGATGGCTTCTGTCCAGAGATTGCACAGCCTTTTGAAATTGGACCAATAGATGCAGGAAATTAAACAGAGGGCTATATACATGCCTTGAACCATAGATTGCACACTTTTGTATTAGGACATATAAAAGGATTGCACAGTGAGTGAAACTATTTACTTTCAAGTTCTTAAAAGGAAGTGAAAGCATTAGCATAGAAATGGAAAAAAATATCTGGAAAAGTGCATTTGGAAAAGTTTATTATGACCCAGTATTTTAAAATCCAACATACTTTGAATATGATAATACTTCTTGAAACACTTATATGCCAATTTAACCCCAAAATGAAAGAAACAAGGTAGTTTTGCAAATGTGTACATGTGTACATTTTTGCAAAGAAGTTAAGAAAATGACTTCAGATATGGTTATATCAATCTGAATAGCATTATATGCAATTTGCATGTATCCAATGTCGTTTTAAGAGATGACATTCAGTCTTGAACGGTCTTAACCCTTGAGATCGCAGCTGAATCAACTGTCTACTTTTTAGACTTAAATTGATAAAAATGGGGCACTTAGTCAGTCAAGTGACTAATACTGACATCAGAAGCGTAAGTTTTAAAATAATGCCAATCATTTTAAAGCTACATAATCTAGCACTGACGTTTGTAACTTAATTGCTAGGAAAGAAACCAAGATGCTGTCTGGAACTGAGGATGAATTACTCAACAGCTTAAGTCTGTTTTTATTTTATATGTAAACAAGATTACAAGTTATATCTTTTCTGAAGCATTGACAGATCTTTTTAGTTTTTTAAAAAATGGCCTTTGCTCTTCTGGACTATTTACTATATGTTAGCTCTCAGCTTTGAAAAGGTAAAACAATCAAATTCAATATTTTAATTATTTATTTTAAAATTTCAATTGATCAATTAATCAAATAGATAGCCAGTGTAGTTCAGTGGTTAAGGTGATAGACCAGGCATGGAAGCCTCAGGGCCATGGAAGCGAACTGGTTCACTAGCTGCTCTCTTTCAGCACTGGACTAGGGAGTTGAGAAACATCCTTCTACTAACCTAGGGTGGACTAATGGGTAGATTGCAGTCCATATTTTCAAAAGAGTTCTTTGTCCTACAATGGATTGATAATCATCTTTTATCAATCAAATAACAATATAACTTTATGTAAATGAGAAGATAAGCAGCCAAAGTGAACAGTCCAAGTTTTTTGGAAGAATGAAAATGTTTTAAGTTTTATTAACA